TACATGTTGCAATAGGCAACTCCGACACTGTCGTACAAGTTGCCTATGAGTCGTACAGGTTGCATTAGGCAACTCCAACTCATGTGTTATCATAGATTGGTTTATGAGTCATATAGGTTGCATTTTGGCAACTGATTGAGACTGTTCGTTGTCAGCTGATTAGATAATGATGGAGCAACTGATTAATTTATTATGTTGTTTGATTTCATGCTTGATAGGGGTATGATTTTTGGAATATTTAAGGATTTACTGTTGATTTACATTTGATTTCATACTTATATGTGGTATGATTTTCTGGAGACTATACATGTTTTACAGCGAGGGCTTATAACATTTTTTAGAAGGTCTTTTTATTTCACACTTTTTTTTCACCCTCCAGGTTTTAATAGCTGAATTTTTTTTTTGACATTGATTCAAGGATTTGATTGACCTTATTGACGAGGATTTCTGGTATCTTGGTAGATTACCTTTGACGGTATGTTCTCAATCCACTCTACTGTACTTTACTTATACTTTGACGTCACGTGTGAAATGAATTCATTTCCACTCACAGTGCACTCTCGTATTTAGACACTTTTAGGTTTAAAATTTATTCACATATTCCACATCACTATAGTTTAAGGCTTCGTCACCTTCCAGGTGTCGGCCTGCACAACTCGATTCGGAGTCCTAGTGGACAATCCGGGTCGGGATGTGTCACCCCCCCTCCCATTCATCGTGGGCGCGTGAGGCTTTTGGCCTTAACCAAAGGTGTTAATTGTTTTGTAAGTGCAATTTTGTCTAAGATCAAGTAGGAAGAAATTTGCATCCACACCTACAACAGGATCTTATTGCACATCTTTGGGCCAAAAGAAGCATGGAGTAGGCGTTTAAGTTTTATGTTGTTAAATGTTTTTAAAAATATTGTTTAAGTTTTATGTTGTTAAATGTTTTTTTTATATTGTATAATTTTTATGTTGTTTAATGTTATTTGATGTTGTTTATATTGTTTAATGTTGTTTCTTGTTACTTAATTTAATTTAATGTTGTATAATGGCTTATGAAGTTATAGGAAAAAAATAGAATTTAAAAAAAAATTAAAAATTTTGTAAAAAAAATAAAAAAACAAAAAAAAACGGCTAGCTAACGTCAGTAGCTAGGCATTGGTTTTTTTAATCTTGGCCTGACTAGGGGCCGGCCGATTGGCCCTTTTTTGTCTAGTGGGGTCCACGAGCCCTTTGGTCTGGCCATCAGTTGGAGAGTTTGTGAGCCATTTTCGACCTTCTGGACCCTTTGGTTGGAGATGGTCTTACATAACCTATGTGGCACGTTGTTGACTAATTTCAATTAAACTCAAAACAATTTTAGAGAATTCACAAAGCCTTATTAGGCACAACATCAGTAATTACTTTTGAGTAACAAGAAATTTCCGACAAACGGAAAAAAAATGAAAAATTACCTCATAGTTGTAGATTGCAGAATTTCAAGATAATCTAAACATTTGCAATCACTCACAAAACACTCACAGAACGTAATTCTTTGAATTTGAACATTTGAAACTAGGGGTGGGTAAATAGGTATAGGAATCGCGGGTCAGGGCGAGTAATCAAGGTTCGGGGCGGGTACGGGTCGGTTTCAATTTTTTAATAAGGGAAATGGGACGGGGTGGGGGAAGGGCAATGCCATTTTAAGGGTGGGCCGATTCCAGGTGTATTTAAAAACAGGGCCCCGGATAGGCCCGTTTGTAGTTGCAATGGACGAACAAGATTGAAAAGTAACATACCATCCAATCTTCACCGTCAGTTTTTACCTTACTCTCCTCTCTGATTACAAACTCGAGTCCTCGACTCTCCGTCTCTTGCATGCGTCATCCCCTCCCTTCCACAGTTCCACCCACACTCCGTCACTCCCCGTCAGTCATCTTCTCCACCACCCCTACATCATTGCTGTCGTGAGTCTGGGCCCTGGAGACCACCACGACAGCTGATCTTCTCGATTGTTCTCCTCGACGACATCCCAGACATAGAGAATCCAGGCACCTGCACCACCCATCTTCTCGATTCTCCTTCTCTCCTCCCCGACGACATCACCTCCGTCGCGACCACCAACACCTCATCACCGCAACCAGTTCAGGTGAATTCCTTAACCTCTGATGTTAATTGATGCTTAAAAACCTGTCAAATCTAAACCTAGTCCTTCCCATATTTTGCATAATTTCTTGTGTGTTTGTAGTTTGATCTATTGGGATGTATGTAATTCTGATGTGGGTTTTCGATTTGAATTGGACTGTAGTTCTTGAGCTAATTCTTTTTTGGCTTTACTTGCTTAATTGTTCAAAATTTCGTTTGATTAAGTTTGATGTGGGTTTTCTAATTTGGGGGTTTTCTTCCATATTTTCATCAATGTGCAGCTACTGTGCTGCTGTGCAGTTGTTGTAAAAAAAATCAGTTTTTTTTCTTCAATTTGTGCAGCTGCTGTAAAACATCATTTTTTTTTACATTGCTATAGAATATTGTTGTTGATAGGGTTTGCTTAGATCATATCAGCTTTGTAGTTTCACTTCTAGGAATATTTAGTCAGATTGATCTAAGTAGCATATAAGTCTCAATCTGGGATTGATCGAATTCTGCATTTTCTTATTAAAGTTTAAATTTTCATGAAAGTATCGTTCAAATTTAGCAGGTGATCCTGAACTAGATCTCTTCGTATTTTTTATTTGTTCTTGCAGACGATTTTACTGAAGTTGGATGTGATTTCGGATGTTAATTTGGAATTTATTCCTGATGTCATGTTTATGTTATTTTGGATTATTTGATTTTAGACTACGGAATTTGTATGTCTCATATTCTCAGATGTTATTTTGTATGTTGATTTGATCTTTGGATGTCTCGGATGTTATTTTCAATGTCTCAGATTTAATGCATCAAACGATGTTAAACGATGTAATGTTGTTATTTTAGATGTAATGTTAATCTATGGACTTAGATGTTGGACTTTGTAATGTTTGGATGGGTTGTGCAAACTGTAAAATCTGTATTATGTGAATATGTGCAGTTGTGCTGCTGTAAAAATTCAGTTTTTTTTTCCATAAAAAAAAAAAGGACACGTAGACCCGGCATGTTTCAAACGAGCCAGGTTAGGTCCCAGTTTGGCCCGTTTCTTTTAAACCCTGATCCGGTCCAGTCTCTTCAAAATTGAGCTTGACCCGTCCCGTGCCCAGCCCTATTTGAAACTACTGACAAAACACTCGTATCAAGTAATTCACCTCTACATCCGTGAAAATTATAAAAAAATTCCGAGTTAATTTATGTTTTATTATTGAACAATCGTTACTCCCTCGAGTTAATGTAAAATGTTTGATTTTGTAGATTTCCGTTGTTTGCAACGGCACCATTCAAAAGTGTCGCCTGACATTTCCTCATTTTATATCAACACGACATAAAAAGAAAAGATGACACAAAATTTGGTTTGTTTTGGCTTTTTTTTTTTTTTTTTTTTTTTGGTTTTTGTTCTAAGGGGTTTTATCACAAATAGTCCATGAAATTTACCCTCACCATCAAGATGGTCTAAAATTGAAAATCAATCAATGTAGTTCTTGAAAATAGGTATCACAAATCAATGTGGTCATTATGTCATAATTCTATTAAAAATTCTGTTAAGTGCTGATATGATGCATAAATGGGCCCCACAAGATTTACGAGTTTGTATCACAAATGATCCTTGAAATTGACTTACATCATCAACATGATGTCTGAAATTGACTCACACCATCAAGATGATCCCTAAAATTGAAAATCGATGAATGTAGTCCTTGAAAATAGTTGCCGCAAATCAATATGATTCTTCTGCCACAATTCTGTAAAACTTTTTGTTATGTGCTGATGTGGGTTTAATAATTAATTAAAAATTTGTCTAAACACCTTTTTGCACAATAGATTTTTTTTTCTTATAGTAGGAGTGTGTAAAGATGGGTGTTTTGAGATATTTTTTTAGAGAATAGACAGTGAATGAGGTAGAGGAATGTATATTGAGATGAGAGGTGATTGCAGGACTAAGTTTTTGGGTTCACAACTTTTTATTAACTACTAAATTATTAAACCTATTTGTAATTTTTTTTAATTTAATTAGACTTGTGTAATCCATTTATGTGTCACATCAACACATAACAAAAGTTTTGACAGAATTGTGATGCAAGGACTACATTGACTTGGGACACTTACTTGAAAGACTACATTGATAGATTTTCAATTTCAAGGACCATTTTGATGTCACAGGTTAATTTCAAAGACCATTTGTGAGAAGAAAATGACATATGGGAGCTATTTATGTGCCACATCAGTACTTAACAGAATTGTTAAGAGAATTGTGATAGAATGACTACATTGATTTGCGACACCTATTCTCAGGGACCATATTGATTGATTTTCAATTTCAGGGACCAACTTGATGGTAAGGATCAATTTCAAGGACCATTTGTGAAAAAAGAAAACCTTTTTTTTAATTACTAATTATATTATCTATAATAAAAGAGAGGGGCCGAGCTTAAGCTCACAATAGGATAGTAATAATGTGGTTTAATTTCGCTTTTAGCAAAAATCAAATCTAAAACCTCTCATTTATAAGTGAAAAAGAATATCATTAGACTGTAGTACTAAGTAGCTGTATTGTTAGTGATAATCAAGTAAAATACTGGAAATTGGACAACTTTGTAAGGCCAAAAAAAATTAGACAACTTTTGAAATAACTCAAACTTTATACAGTGGAACCCTTTGACTGAATCATGACCGTTGGATTCAATGATTCACCAAATCATCCCCCTTCCACCACGAAAATGGCATCTCATGAACTTTTCCCCCAACCCCTAATTCCTTCTCTGATTTTAGAAAATTATAGTAAACAGCTTCTTCAGTAGGATTTAAATTTGACTCCATCCATTTAAACTCTCAATTCAATTCCTTGCAGTCTGATTGATATACGAGTTAATTCAATTCAATTTATATTCTGATTACAGACACATTACGTGTTAATAAACGAGTCATAGCATTAATCAATTTTCTAGGGGAATATGTACGAAACAATTGGCAAAATCAGGTGCATGCTTGATCACAAATCGACTAAGATGAACGCACATACACCGTTAGATGAGATCTACACAGAATGTTTTTACAAATTAGCAAGGGTCCATCAGAACCCTTACAAACCGGATTGAATCCGGCTAACTAACTACACAGGAACGAAAGGCCGGGCCATCTGAGGCGGCTCGTAGCAAAACGGAGCCGCAGGGTGCTGCCACTTCTTGAATACCGCCGCCTGCGCCGACTTGTCAGCCTCCGCGCCCTGATGATGGTGGCGCGGGAGCTCCTTCTGCTGGTGCCGCGAGTCGTCACGGGATTTGGCCTCGATCGGTTGATCGGGGGAGACAAGAGGGGAGAGAAGGGGGATGGCGACGTTCCAATCGGGGACGCGGTTTATTTGAAGGGAAGACGGGGGCGGGGCTCGCCTCTGGAGGCGGCTGAGCTGGCGGCGGTTGCCGGACCTCGGTCGCGGTGCTTCTGCCATTGATTTGATTTGGATGAGATCTCGGACGGGAGAGAGAGAGAGAGAGAGCGAGGGATTTGGGATTTGGTGTGCAACAGATGGAACTACGTAAGGAAGTGGTGAGGGGGTGAATATATATAAGCGAGGGAGAGAGAGAGAGAAAGGCGTATGGTTGGCACGCGGCTTTGGCTCCTTCAAGCCCCGACCTTGGCTGTCTCACTCCAACAAAATACGACTCTCAAACGCACGGAACGCACGTTAATTTTTACTTCGTTTTGGGTACGTTTTGGTTTAACTGATTTTTCAGATTTTCAACATTTGAAGACTGAAGAAATAACAATTTGGTTTTTTGTTTACTTTATCACCTAACTGGATTTAACATTCACGTCACTCACACATACTATAAGCAAAGAAATGTTCGAGTTTAGGGGTTTACAAGGGACGACCCATGATTTTGATCACGGTCACATATTCTCAATCAAATCAAATTCATCACAATCAAGAATTGGAACGATCTCGAGCAAATTCGCTCTTGAAATTTGGATTCTAGGGTTGGGGGAAGCAAGGAGTAGAGATAAATAAGGTCGGACTGGGTGGGAAGATTTTTGGTTTGAATAAATGTTGAGCAAGAACAAAGAAGTAAAGGAGAAAATTAAGTTTTCACGCTTCAGGTATATGATGTCGAAGGGATAACTAATCACTTAGTGATCGATTTGGACTGGTTTGATTAAGTTATTATCCATTTTCAATCAGACAGTAATAAAGTTAATTTGGTCGAAATACTCAAAATTAGTTAAAAAGAGACCTAAATAGGAAGGAAGCGTGTAAGGGGATTCTCTATGTTCAAATGTTGTTAGCCTTGGTTGGCTTTCTTTGCTCTTTTGGCTTCAGCCCTGGAGGGGAGATAAAAGAATGTAAAAACTAACCAAACCACTCAGATTATTATTTTATTTTTTGTAAACCAATCAGGTTATTTAGTTTGGCCTTTTTGAATACTTCATATGATTTAAGTTTCAAATAACAAGTTAAACATAGGGGTGAGTTCGATTTTATTCGGTTCAGTTTGGCCAAAACTGAAATTTTGGTTTGGTTTGATTCGGTTCAATTTTCTTTCGGTTTTTTTTTTCAGTTTGGTTTGTTTTTGTTTTTTTTTGTTCTGTTCGGTTTCGATTTTTCTTATTTTATAAAACTTGATATTTTTTAATATGAAATTTAGAAAAGAGGCTTGCATTAGTAGATAATAATAAGAAAATGGGAAAGTGGAAAGTGGGATGGTAGTACATATACAATATTATATAAACCAATCATATTCTATCAATAACCTCAACTGCAAAGAAAAATAATCACCGTATTCATTTAAAAAGCAAACAAATAGAGAAGCTTTTCCAAGTTCCAAAGCCTTCAAAAACTTTCTTCTATAACCAATGAAATATCCTCCCTAATTGATCCAGTACTTTGAAAAAGCCCTAGGCTTAGTTTCGAACTTGGCAACAAAGTTTTACAAAAAAAAATCAGGGGCATACATTTATAGAGTGTAAAGAGATTCGGTTCAGTTTGGTTTTCCGAACCTCCAAAATCGAAATTGAACCAATAAGGTTTGGTTCGGTTTTTTTTGTTTTTGATTTCGGTTCAGTGTTCAATCCGATTTTTTTCGGTTTTTAGCCTTTTAAACCCACCCCTAATTGAACTTGACTTAATTGAAAAATAAAATAAAACAAAATAATTAGTTGAAAGAAAAAAACTTACGCGCCTAAACGAAGATACCATTATGAAATGCATCAACTAAATGAAAACAATGCAACAATTTCAACGTTTTACGCGTATGTCAATGGTGAATTTTCCCTCCTCCTCCCAAACTTGAACAATGGAATATCGGAAAGTGTAGACAATCTGAGGATGAGTACATAAGAATTGTAATTTAATTGATTAAAAACGTTTTTGTTACATTGACGTTTTATATTCAAATCTCTTTTCAATTATTCTATTAGCAACAATGTTCATTAAAATTAACAATTTAAAAATGCATGTGTGATTTCATATACTAGTGGATAGTGTTAATTTTCTACTCCCATGTCCAAAACCTTATCATCTCCAACAATTATTGTAATTGTTTTGAACTCTTTTTTTAATAATAATAAAATTTTGAAAAATAAAAAAAAAATAAAAAATCTGAAGCTGAGCCGAAAAGGGAGTAGGCAGCTGGAGCTATGAGCGAGCCAACAAAACCTCCCAACCGAAAGGCAACAGAGACCGAGTTAAACAACTTTCTTAAGGTATCTAGATTTTACGTTACCAATTCAGACGTGGGCCCCACCACCGACTGTTTTGGGCATTACCATGTAACTCCGCTGGATTTTGACCTTTTTTTTTATTAATTAGTTTATTATTATTATTTGGCTGGACGACATAAAAAGAGAACGACGCATCAACTATATCTGACCAACGGCTCTAACGATGGTTACGTGGTCACTTGTAAACCTTGGATCAACCCAAAAGCATTTTAATGGTGTTGATCAAGGCTTACAAGTGACCACCTAACCATCATCAGAGCCGTTGGGAAAATTACAGAAATACCAAGTCAAACCAGATAGTCTCTGTCTCAAAGGGTATAAACGTCATTTTCCCAGAATATTCGCATATTTATACATAAATGTGCTGAATTGCTTGGACCCAAAAATATGAATACAAAGAGAGAGAGAGAGCCCCATGATTGACACAGAGAAAATCCCCAAATGCAAACTCTCTGTTTTGAACATACTAGTATAACGACCTAGGTGAAAAGCATTTTGAGCTCCTCAATTCCGGCAGATCGAACTCTTCCTCGTTGGTGAGAGCTCCGGCGATCATTCTCTGCTTCCTCGCCTGGACTTGTCGCATTCGCTCCTTCACCGTGTCCTGCAATGCGCAAAGCAAAAAATACAACTTGGAGGGGAAAACGTGAGACACAAGAAAAGTAGACCAAACCAAGTTAAGGCAACGCAAGAGTTTGCTTGTACAACACAAGAAAGGAAAACAACAATCATGCAGGAGAACTTGTAAAGCCTGGACCAGTTTTAAACTACTGAAAACTCACCTTGACAATGAATCGTCTAACTACAACACTTTGCTCTTGTCCAATGCGATGAATTCTCATGATCGCTTGCCCCTCTCCTCGACAGCAGGATTCCACCACGGATCCTAAAAAAGGGCAAAGAAACAGAATGTGATCCTTTCAGCTTACCATTTCCCCTTCGGTGTCGTTGAACTTGTTCAAAACCCTCTCCCTCTGTGTCAGACAGCTTTCCATCAAACATCAGCTCTTCTTCATAGGGGACTCCGATAGATCCCAAAATGTAGTCCACTGGCTCAACACAACGCTCTTTGCACCACAACCTGACCGAAGAACGCGTTCCAAGAAATCTGAAAGCTTTGCAACGTTGGAAGATTCCGTCCAGTTTTCCTCATCAGTAACCTGGAAACAGCTTTCTGATGGGCAGGTTATAAGGTCACTGTTTGCAAGCCATTGCCGACATATGAGACACTCTTTGTTTTCACGACGAGGGATACTCTCCACACCCTCTTCAACGTACGCTTGAGTGGGGACAATCTGCTTTGAACTGGAAGAATCATGACTAGCTTCAAGGGATTTTTCAGCAAGATTGTCCAAGTCTGCAAACTTTTGTATATTTTGCATGAAAGATGGTCAGAACCAAGGATCATAGAATGACTATTGAAGAGGCTACGAATAATTACAAGGCTACAAGCTAAGAGATAACTCGACGGTAAGCAAACAAATAAGTCCATTTGCAACTGGATATCAGCTAGGTTGAAGGTTGGCACAATTAGTGTCAAGAAATTTACTCTACCTAGATACAAATAACACCATATTCGCGAGGAACAAAAACCTTCAATCCAAACATCTGAAGAATTTCTCCACAAAGAATCACACCTCGTATTTCAACACAAAGAATCTCACATCGACCAAGGTTGGCACAAAAACCTGCAATCCAAGCGCTAGAAGAATTTCTGAAGACACCACCAGGTCCAATAAAATTGACCACCCCTTTACAACATCCATCAATATTGTAATAAAATTATTCAATGGGAGGGACAAAATCTTGCTCAAAAATAATTTTGTTGCGCCAATGCCAACATATAATTCCAATTAAAAACAAATAATATTATTCAAGAGGGAAATAAATACCATTATAATTAAATTTTAGAGAAAAAAGGAAAGAGGTAAAAAGGTAGGCGAAAGAGTACAAGTGACGAAACTATAGAGTCAGCGCCAAATCTTTCTCGGTCTTTCAAACCCATACTAAACCGGGTACGAACCGGATTCGGTGGTATTTGTAAGTGTGACCCGATTACTAATAAACAAAAAAGTCATAAAAAAAAGATAACGAGAAAACCAAGACACAGTCACACAACCCAAAGGACTCTCCTCAGCTGCAGCGAAAGCAATGTGCACATTAGAGAAACGCGGCGATCTCTTCTTCCTAACCCTCACCGGAGACGACGACCACCGCCTCGGCCTCCCAATCATCGACTCCCTCCTCTCCGCCATCGCCGAAGCCAAGTCCCAAGCCACGCGCGGCTCCGTCTTCATCACCACCGCCCAAGGCAAGTTCTTCTCCAATGGCTTCGACCTCGGCTGGGCCCAATCCGCCGGCTCCGCCACCGCTGCCCGCGCCCGCCTCAATCAAATGGTCCTCGCCTTCAAGCCGGTCGTCGTCGCGCTCCTCTCGCTCCCGATGCCGACGATCGCCGCAGTCCAAGGCCACGCCGCCGCAGCCGGCTTCTTGTTCGCCCTGAGCCACGATTACTTCCTGATGAGGCGCGACAGAGGCGTGCTGTACATGAGCGAGGTCGATTTGGGGCTGCCGTTCCCGGACTACTTCACGGCTGCGTTTCGGTCGAAGATTGGGTCGGTGTCAGGTCGGAGGGATGTGATGCTGAGGGGGATGAAGGTGAAGGGAGAGGAGGCGGTGAAAATGGGGATCGTGGAGTCGGCGCACGATAGCGCGGAGAGCACGGTGGAGGCTGCGGTGCGCCTGGGGGAGGAGTTGGGGAAGAGGAAGTGGAACGGCGACGTTTACGCGGAGATCAGGAAGAGCTTGTATCCGGAGTTGTGTGGAGTTCTTGGAGTGGCGATTGCTACTCCAAAGGCAAAGCTCTGAGTCTGTCATCTTCTCCGATTTAGTGGGGCATTTAGAGAATAATTTGAAAATTAAGAGGTTTGAATTGAAATTTGATGATTTCAGTGGTTCAAATGTGTGAATCATTTTATGTAAGATTGCATAAGAAGGCTAAGGAAATAAGAAATGGATTATTTACTTTTAATTTTCTTTCGAAATGTGGCTCAAAAATTTCATTTTGCAGTAAGTGTCAATAAAAACACTCGTGTATATATATATATAAGTGTGTGTGTGTGTGTAAGTGATCTTGGACGTATATCGGAAATAAATTTGTTCTAGTCAACGTAGTGATGCTCACATTCATGTTTAGCACTGATGAGGTGTAGCACTTAAATTATGTGTTATAAGTCCTTTCTACACGAGTGCTCCATGGAGACGGTGTTTGTTCACTTGAATAATGTACTATAAGGACGTGTTTGTTTGGCCACCTTAAGTTTCATTGGACTGAACTATTTGGGTAAGATTATTATTCTGTGTTTGGAGCAAGCCGGACTCGTGCCGACTAAATTCTTCGTTAGCTGGGCTTAGCGAGAACCCCCAAAAAGGAGGGGATTGCTAGTCCCGTTTCCCTGTTTCGCCTCACTTTGCCTCGCCCCACGCCTGAGAACTTGCCCACCCAACGTCTCTCTCCCCACCACCCTCTCGTCTGTCTAGAGGATCTCCAAGTCTTGTAGATATGCTCACATTTACGTTTAGCACTGATGACATGAGGTGAAGTGCTTAAATTAGGTGTTATAAATCCTTCTTACACGAGTGCTATATGGAGAGAGCGTTCACCTGAATAATATACTATAAGTGTTTCCTATATAAGTAAATTCTTAGCGTGCTACCACTTTATAATAAGTGCTTCTAAAAAAGTTGAAGCATCACCAAAAAGATGTAAGGAATCCTGTGTGAATTGTTTTGACAAAAAAATAGTTTTTTGGTTTCAAAGCAGATGCCAAGATTTTACATGGATTGACATTCTCCACACTGCTGCTAAATTTGAAAGCAACGCCAATTTGTTTTTATAATGTCGAGCCCACATATTTCTTTATTTTTCTTCACTTGTTAATGATTATTTCTTGAATTATGACCCACTTGATTTTGTAAATAAAAAAAAACATTTTAATTTGACATCTCGATTAGTCGGTTGGAATAAGAGACTTTTCAAAATGTTATGTTGTAATATCAACTACAAAAATGAAATTTGACATACCAAATAGAGTTTCAGCCTGCCTTCAAATTTTATCACGTGACATTCTAAGGGGAATTTGATTCCTGTTTTAGACATTTAATATTTCTATTGAAGATGCTTTAAAAATATTGCTTTTTAGACCACCAAAGAATCGCCTCCCCTCCCCTTTTGTATTATTGGATTGCCTTCCTCCTGAAATCAAATTGAAATACCAATCATAGATGATGAATTACAAGCCGTCTAATCCGTGTACGTCTATTATTTGGGAGCTCAGAACTAGTTTGGCATTTGGTAGTGTTAATGAGTTGAGCGACAAGGCCACTCCTGCCAAACTAGTTGATTTAAATGACTTGTTGTTGAGTCTTCTTGTAGAGAAGCTCGCTTGCATTCAGGGTGCGTTTGGTACGCAGACGGGACGGGACGGGACGGGACGGGACGGGACAGGACGGAACGAAGGTGTAATTTTTGAAAAAAACATGGGGTATATTTGTCTTAAAATGGTAAAACATTGTGTTCCACAGACGTGGAACAAACCCGTTCCAGGGGGGGAGGTGGAACGCAAAAACACCCAAAAATCTGTCCCGTGGAACAGCCCGTTCCATCCATTTTTGGCGCACCAAACGCGGGACGGAACGCCTCGTCCCGTTCCGTCCCGTCCCGTCCCACGTACCAAACGCATCCTCAATGCACAGTTTTAATGGCGTCCTTTTATTTATGATCGGTACAACTAAGAGGAGAGAGAAGACAAAATGTAAAAGAAGGAAGAAAACCAATACCACTCGCTTCTGATTGGTAAGAATCATTGGCATATGCTGCATTGAAATCTAAAGTGCAACTGCCACGTTGCAATGAACAGCTTCCGTAGCAGATACGGATGTTGAACCGTTTCGTGAGGGGAAAGAAAGGAGGATGATTGTTCGTCAAATTTTGAGTAATAAAAATGGAGGGTGGGCCTAAGCGGGCCAACCCTTGGAGGTCCCACAAATTATGTCAGCCATATGTCTTGATACCCATACGGCACCCACCAATCGAGGGTGAGAGCGGCATATTTAGCCAACTGACCCTTTTAATCTCCACAATTTACCCACCGCCTCCCTTTTGTACCACGTCCTTCCTCGCCCCTTTTCGTTTCATCGATGTGGGATTGGAGTAAGTGAAATTTCAAGCCCTTTTGCCCCCTACCCTAAACTACATAAACTTGGGCCAATTTGCAGCTACCTAATAGTTCAACAAGTAAGTTGCTACAAGGTTAGTTCATAGGGCATACTGGCAGCTACCTAGTAATTTAAGTTGAGATGAATAGCAATTTACTCTTGTTTTAACAAAGGAAAATGATTAAAGCCTTTAGAGTGGTAAAAGAAAGATGCACTGCCTCTTTACGGGCACCCAATGCTTTCGTCTGAAAGACTAAATAAGTTACAGAGTCAGTTAACTGCCAAAGCCCCGACTAACATTGACATTACTGGGAAGCCGATAGCATCTTCAATTAAGTTCATGTAATTAAAGGTGTCACCTTCTACGAATTAATGTAACACATTGCCTGTGCTTGAAGAAAATAAGAGTCCTTGTACTTTCTCCCACTTCCAATGTGAATCCCATTGCGAATCCAGTCATCACGATGTATCCAAGCATCCCGACCAATATCAAGAATTCCAAGAATCTGTTGTGAAGCACAATATATGCTAGGTTGGTAACATGATGAAAAGTGCAACCAGCAAAAGACACGTTTGGTGGATGTCATTTGCCACAGACAGACAACTAAAACGAGCGCACAAGCATATACTAAAACGGTACCTCCTCCCTACAGTCACCAACTACATAAGATGCATACAGCAATGTATTAAAAAGGTAGAGGATGATTGACTTACCGCACCACCTTTCCATGGTACAACAGTTGGATTTGATCTTGATTGCAAGACCTATTTAACATGATATAGACCACATATGAAAAACTATGGTCGAGTTTATTTCGGTTACAAGAAAAAAAAGAAAAGGATTAAAACCATCGAGGATATAAGTAATAAACTAACCTCAACAGTATCAATTGCTTCATTTGAAGGAATTGCATGTAAAACCCTGCCAAAAGGAGAATGATAATTTAATCTTATAAGGGTGTCTGTATCTCTTGCGTGAACGGTCCATCCCCATTCAATTGCCTTTATTAAATAAGCACACGGGCATATCAAGCTCGCATAAGTATCCAATTTTATTGGTGTGTACTTAAAAACCAGAAATTCAGCAGCAAGTTGTGCTAGGGTCAACGTAAAGAGGGGCACACAGCAAACAACTTTTCCAAGCATGGAGACCGAGACCTATGAACTAAAAACTCACCATCCCAACAACTACTATTCATCTTGCATTGTGCAAATACGAAGCTTAATTGCCTAAGCTATTAGTTTATGAACATAAACCACAAGTCTAACTTAGCAAAACTCTACGCCAAGGAATCAAACTCCGCATTGGTGGGTTTCTCTAAAGGAAGTTGAGGTTGCACCCAAAACCAATTGGCAGTGGGAGGAGTAACCATACTCCTTACGATTCCATTCAAGGTTTCTTTAACTTTCCAATGTGAGACAACTCTCCATGCACCCTCACGTGTGGCGATACTCAAGGCAAACACATGGAGAACACATTGGGTGACATAGACACGTGTATTGTTGGGATTCACAAGTGGGCGAACCTGGCTCTGATACCGTATTAGAACATCATAAGCATAACCATAATCACAAATATTAATCAAACAAGTAGGTTTGTTTAAGATGAACTGACCTTTCCTCCACTGCAGGAACAAGACCTCTTGTCAAAGCCACTCCACCAATCTAAAACATGAAATAGGTCACTTCTTCATTTCTACACCAAGTAAGCAAATATAGAAACACATTGTATATCTTAAGTGACAAACTCACCAATAGTATACTGCAGAACAATTTTCTTTGGAGGTCTATACGTCCTGTCAACAAACCACCAAGTGGTGCTTAGGTATCAAATATAAAAGCATTGTAAGTGACACTCTAGAAACTTACCTGTTGAAAGAATGCTACTCGTTATGGCTTCTGCAAGGCCAATTTTTTCTTCTTTCTTTGGTTTAGCTGAAAAAGCTGGGTAGCTGTCCCACAGTGGATACCCGGTGTTCACGCTGGAAAACAAGCCATCTGACATTTCAGGTCTTCTGGGAAATTCCATGTGCCACGTATCTTCTAGCATGTCTTCATAGTCACGAAACCTATGTAATTAACCAATCCAATATTTATCAAGAATGACTAATTTATCCCAATTATTATTATGTTGCAGAGAAGTTTAACTTGGAAAACATGACTGACCAACACTGGGCGGTGGAGGATATGCATCTGGGACCAAAAGCATTGGGAAGAACAAACCCATAGGAGGGACCTATGCAACATAAAATTATAATAAATTTTGTTCCCTGAAAGTTATATTTTAGGACTAAAGCAGCTATAATTCACTTTAAGAGACACACATTGAGAGCAGTTAATCTTGTCTTATGAGATCCAGCTGGCATGCCATCTTCATAAGAATGAACTACACCAACAGCGTCAAGTTCCCCCTCCTGTATAAAGGAAACTAAGTAATTAGAAAAGCAAAACCCGAGAACCAAGGTAAAGGACCCTTGTTCAACACATTCTACACTATTTAGCCATACACTTCATTCAATTCAATTACTAACATATAGCCTTTTAAATCAAGCACTCGATAATAAACCTTCTTTCAACATGGAGGGTCTTTGACAGACCCAAATATATATCTACGTTATAGAGAATTAGCTTCACATCTGTGTTCTATAGATGATTCACCATGACCTGAAATGCTTTCTTTTAACTTTTCATTGCACTGTGAAACCTCAAATTGTATACTAGATCTTCATATATTCTGGAAAGAAAATATGATTGGCTCGTTACTTATAATTTTTTTTTTTAAAAAAAAATACAAAACATACAGGGGGAGAAAACAAACATATAAAAAGGAAAACCACCTATTGGATCAAAGTTATGAAATAAGACATAACATATGTGTGCGTTGTCTTGTATGTAGTCCTCACGAGATAATTACATTAACTGAAAACTCAACACAGAAATATTATACATACATACAACCCCAGTAGAGTGTAGGGTGGCCAAAAAAATCTAGATGGCATCATACACAACATTACTGAAGGTATAACCTAGTTTAAGAGAATCATCACAAGCATGATAGTGTGATACTCAACCTGCCTCTCTTTGGGATGTCATGTCTACTACCAATGTTCCGATTCATCTAGACTAGCGGGAGATCTGTAATATTTTTTATTTTTTATTTTTTGTAATTTTAAGCATCTTTTGGCTTTCCTCGGATGGACTTCTTGTCCATATGTATATGCATGCATGTATTACTGGCGTGAATCATGTATCACTAAAAGAAGCTAGGGCAGATGACAGAAGATACATCACATATAGAATAAACCATGACCAAACAAGAAACAAGTAAGAGAACTAACTTTAATCTCACAATAAGACTCTTTAGTCTGTTAAGCATCAAGAGATCTATCGGCTTGGTGAACATGTCAGTACGAATTTGTGGCCATGTCTGATGATGTCTTTGAGTCCAAAGAAGGCATCTTGATACGTCCTGAAAAAATACACATACAATATAACTTCATAAAGAACAGGTTTAATGGAAAATGAAACTTGTTACAACAACAACAACAACAACAACAACAAAGCCTTTTCCCACTAAGTGGGGTCGGCTATATGAATCCTAGAACGCCATTACGCTCGGTTTTGTGTCATGTCCTCCGTTAGATCCAAGTACTCTAAGTCTTTTCTTAGAGTCTCTTCCAAAGTTTTCCTAGGTCTTCCTCTACCCCTTCGGCCCTGAACCTCTGTCCCGTAGTCACATCTTCGAACCGGAGCGTCATTCGGCCTTCTTTGCACATGTCCAAATCACCGGAGCCGATTTTCTCTCATCTTTCCTACAATTTCGGCTACTCCTACTTTACCTCGGATATCCTCATTCCCAATCTTATCCTTTCTCGTGTGCCCACACATCCCACGAAGCATCCTCATCTCCGCTACACCCATTTTGTGTACGTGTTGATGCTTCACCGCCCAACATTCTGTGCCATACAACATCGCTGGCCTTATTGCCGTCCTATAAAATTTTCCCTTGAGCTTCAGTGGCCTACGACGGTCACACAACATGCCGGATGCATTCTTACACTTCATCCATCCAGCTCGTATTCTATGGTTGAGATCTCCATCTAATTCTCCGTTCTCTTGCAAGATAGATTCTAGGTAGCGAAAACGGTCGCTTTTTTTGTGATCTTCGCTAGATTGCTCCGGTCATTAGTGTGGATAAGTATATAAATGGATAGAGATAGGAAAGCAAACACAAGATGTACGTGGTTCACCCATATTGGCTACGTCCACGGAATAGAAGAGTTCTCATTAATTGTGAAGGGTTTACACAAGTACATAGGTTCAAGCTCTCCTTTAGTGAGTACAAGTGAATGATTTAGTACAAATGACATTAGGAAATATTGTGGGAGAATGATCTCGTAATCACGAAACTTCTAAGTATCGGAGTGTGGAGTCGTCTTGACTTGCCTTATCTGTCTCATAGGTAGATGTGGCATCTTCTCTGGAAGTACTCTTCCTCCATCCAGGGGTGGTATCTTTAACTGGTGGAGATGCACAAGGTAATGTATCAATTTCACTTGAAGCTTACTTGTAGTTTCAGGCTTGGTCAAGCGCGATACAAACCATGCAGTAGGAGTCCCCAAGTCGCTGAGCTAGGGGGTCTGCTGAAAAAGGTGACAGACAAGGTAAGCAATCAGAGCTCCGACTGATTGTTCACCTTCTCCCCATCTTGCAGCAGCATGAAGGATAAAGAGAAGAAAAATGAGAAGAGATGATATGAGATACTTTTGCTTTTGAAGAAGTAACTTTCCACAGGCTTATTCTTGAACTGAGCTGGAGGGTTTTCTGGTTTCCTTCAGAGTATAAGGCCGACTGAAGAATTTGAGGGTCAAAACAAGTCCATCAAATCTAGAGTACGTTCCACCCTGCTGATATG